ATATAGTAAACTTCTAACAAATGCGGAATTTTTCTTTTCACCTTTAGCTGTAATTTTAAACTCGTAACTAAATATTGATATATGACACTGGATAATACAAAACTACTTTATTTTATTTTAATTTAGTTTTATTTTCTCTTAATTTATATTCTTTAAGTTTTTTCATCTGTTCTATTTGGCTTCTATCCGTTTTATTCTTTTTTTTAAATAAATTATTTCTATTATCATTATTATTATTGTACATAATATATCATATTTTTTTTTCTTATCAAGAAACAAATACTTTAAAATATTTTGAACATGAATTAAAATATGATTACACGACTTATTTTAAAATTAACAATAATAATAATGATAATAGAATTTCGAACTATAACAAACTAATATAAAATTTATGTCGGTCTAGCCCACCCGGATACCTAGCAATCGCTGGGGGGCCCTGAGATTTATTCTTAAAACAGAGGCCCCGTGGGATCACGCCCATAGCCTAAATTATATTAATTATTTTTCAATTTATTTCTGTATAAAAAATAAAAATACGGACATACTTCGTACGATGGGTGGGCCACTCTTATAGATGAGAAGTTGGGAAAATAGGATATAGAGAGGGATTTAATGTATATCTGTACGTAACGATTAAAAATGTCTAACAAAAACAATTCTGAGTGGGCTCGGTTAATAGTATTGCTTTTTCAACAACATATATGTCATATTATAGTAAAATAAATATTTATTGAAACAATTTGTATGGACCAGTAACTATAAATTAGTTCTACATAATTTTTACCAAAACGATTTTTGTCAAAATTTAATTTGATATTCAAATTCTTAATAAGTTATGATTATTATAACAAAAATTCTATGTCGTATGCTTTTTGTAAAATTTATTTCATACAATTAATAAATTTAACATATTGTTGCAATTTGACTCAGAAAAATAACTAATCATGATAAAGTACATTGGAAACTAAATTAACTTAATATACATAAAGTATATATAAGCATTGATGTAATATATAGCTCGTTCAATATTTCAACAAAATTTAGTAAATCAAGATCAATACGACATGCTTAATACATACATATGGTTTCACTACAGAATGAAAAATAAATGTTTATTCAATTTTACTTCTATATTTTATTGTTTAGGGACCCATTGAAAATATTTTCCCGGGGGCTCAATCTTGAGCCAGACCGGCTCTGTATATGTTACATACAAAGTCCGAAATTGTACATTTTGCAATGTGTACAGTGATTTTTGTACACATCGCGAACTATAACAGTAACTAGATTATACAAGTTACATTACACAATTCGCGATATGTACACTAATCACTTATATGTATACACTTTGAAATAAAATAAATTAAAACAAAATACGTGAAACCGTAATAATGGTTACTTTTTTAAAGTATTTTCCTAGTAAATATTACATATCAGTATATTATATAAAAATATAGGTCTTTACATATTAGTATACTCAGGGCCCAGAGGTGGATTAGCCTATCGGGAAATCGGGAATCTTCCCGATGGACCGGTCCTTGTATGGGCTGCTATATTATTACATAAATACGAAAAAAGTTATATTTTTGTAAAACAAGCATAAAATATTAAAAAATCAAATATAAAAGTATAATTTTGGTACTTATTGGTACATTCTTAATATTACCGGCCGACGGAGTTAGTACAATAACAGAAAAATACCATTTTTTTATCCTTTAAATATACTTTTTACGATGATAAAAATATCAATAATATGAATATAATCGTCAATCGATAATATTAACACAGATTATATAACCTGTGATATTAAATGTGATATTTTTTTTTGTAGTAATATGTAAAATGTACTATAATATTATAAGTTCAATCATAAGTTGTAATTAGTAATCAAAAAATATTTCAATGTAATATAGTAGTTTTTTTATTTACGTGTGTTTAAATTTAAATTGCTTAAAAAAATTTTAATGGAAATCATAAAAATCTCTTCATTTCATATACTATTTTTCGATTTGTATGAATATGTGCCACACACAAAAAAAAATATTTTCACGCCATTGCGTTTAGCAATTTTCAAAATTTGATTTGTTTGTAATGAAAACTGTACAATATTAATATGTCTTTTTTTTTCCTTTAAACCAAAAATATAGGTAGATACTATAAAAAGCCGGATATATACATATATCACACCATGGGTAGGCCACGGTTGTTGCGTGAACAAATCTTCAACGTTTAAAACGTACTTTCCGCCAGCTATATGGTCGTCACGAAAAACGCCCGATCGGGTCGATGTGCAATCAGATAGAACGAAAAACCCCATCCGAACCCAGATTATTTGCGAATGAATTGCCAATCGTTGGCGAACACACCTATTTGACGTATTTTACTTTTTTTCGTACAAGCCCCGGACCCAAAACCATACATTATAATACGCTTTTCCAAACAACCGGAAGACGGAAAACGTATTTCATTTTTTAACCGCTCGAGGATTATGATTCAAATATACTGTAGCTTAGTTATAATATAAGTTTTTAAGATCAGAGCCTATATAATAAAAAAAAAAAAAAACATAAAATATCACCATTCGAATTTTGGAAAAAAACAATTTTTTTTTTTTTAATTTAAATCATTTTAAAAGATACAAAGTAATTTCTATGTCTAAATATTAGTGGTGAGTATCAGCATAAGCCGATAATACCGAATTTTTTTCAAAACCGATATTTAACACCATATTATTTAAAGAACATGTCTCTAGACTAAAAAATAAAGTTGAAAATCGAGTTTTCAACCCGATACTTATTCTCCTTTTTCCAGTTCGAACTTCCACGTCATTTCTTTTATCATATCATCCCATCTAGTCTAGGCCTTCCCACAGAAGTCTTTTTCTACGCGAATTCTGTCCCATTCCCGTTTTTATTAGCTCATTCTAACTCTTACAAGCAAAAGTTTGACTTTTGATACTAATCTATATTTAAAATAAATTCTAAGATATAATAGAAATTATCATATATTCCTAGTCGTTGAGAACACATAAAACATATATTACCTCCAACCCTTCCCAATAAATCGGACATCCCGAAAAAGATTCGGGCGGCATGTGTATCCAAGCAAAACGGAAAAAAACTTCGGACGATATACGAAACTTTTTTTCTTTATAACGTTGCTGCAGAAGCTCGGTGTAACCTATTATTTGACTTTTCCGAACTCTGGACGGTGATTTATAAAAACTGAGCAGTTAATGTTTTCGGTGACCCGGAAAGGCCACCACCGCGCCGCCGTCGACCACGTGAACCAGGCCATACGAATCGTCTAAATATACTCGTTTTATCTATTCAATCGACTCGGACGCCACCACCGATGGAAGGCCAAGTCACTCGGTCATGGTTTATTTGATTTTTAGAAAAGTCTCAAAATAAAACCCCGTAAGTAAGTACGTTTATTATATTATTGTCGTCGCGTCGATGGACAGTAAGCGTAAGTCCGGGAGGTTTGGGGTATGTATAATGATACATACCTTTCGAGTAATGATGCGCATCCGAGCGAAACATGACAAGAACTTTAGATGAATGCACAAAAGTTTCTAATCTTCCGCTAAAACCTATTATTTGACTTTTCCGAACTCCGAGCGGCTCTATACGATAGCAGACGGCAATCACAGCTATATAGATTATGATGAGACTCATCAACATTAAAGTTGAATCATAGATCCATAGATATAACTGATGCCCAATACAGATTATATCAACAAATAACATAGAATAAACACTCGATCAGCTGATCGATTTTTGATAACCCGTGATCTAAGGAAATAGTTCTGGTTCGGTTAGCGAATCTGACGTTGTACATTTTGTTCCCTGAGTTGCGAACAGTGGCTGCACCCATATGCGAAGTTGCCCGAATTTTTAAATATTAAAATAACTCGGTCAAAAACTCGATGAAAATTTGTTGAACTATTAATACCTAACTATTAGCATTAAAATTTGAGCAGTTAAATTCGTTTAAATTAATTGGGCTGAATTTGTCGAGAACAGTAGTTAGTGAGATGCTTATTTTGCTTGTAGATAAATCCGGCACTGTGGATGATTTTCCACACTAACACACCAGGTACCACCTGGTACCTGAGTATTTAATATGAAAGTGCCGTATATTTTTTATAAGGATGTCCGCAGAACTTTGAAAAGACCTGTAAATAGTTAAATATTAATGAGATGCTGGAGGGGAAAGTATTGAATTCACAACAAAACATTCCGAATACATTTTTTTCCCCGTTTTCAACATCTAAATATACCCATTTTCTGGCGGTGGTACCTACAGCCGTTGATCTTTATAAGCAGGATGTGATGACATTTTTGTCCCACCCCTTTTGCAGTGATATTTATACCTATACGCAATGCTATTTATACACATCATGCAACACAAAAGTGTATTTCACGCGTTTAATAGCCTTTCAGAATGTTTTTTCCTCGGTTATCCTCCTGTATATAATATTTCGCACACACTCGTTTACAATTGATCGACAGTCCTATGCGAATGCGTGTAACGGTTCGAAAAAATACTCATAATATTGTATAGGTACCGTAGCAATATTGTTTGCAAACGACACGTCGTAGGTATGAAAATTGGTTTTCTCCTCCAATAATATATAGATATCTATATTTGCGTATAGTTTTTTTTCAAAACTTACATACGAAATAATGGCTAATTTTCAAGATCTGTGAAGTTAACAGACGGATATTGAGCACTGATTTTATTTTGACTATTTAGTGCTAAATTAGTGCTAAGAAACAGTACTATTTTCAAAAAGAGTGTTCTGTCCAGAATAAAGTTAACGGGGGCTTATCTTTCATCCGCTAACTTCACGTAGCAGACACATTACCAGTATTTTTTTGATATTCCTAAGGGTTTTCATAATAAATGGAAATACGTAGAAAAAACTGGAAAATTGACTAGATATATTATTTTCAAGTCGTAAATGTTACAGTGTGCATGCTCCAACTGAAATGAGTGAAGATGAAGTAAGGAATGGATTTTATAATGAATTGGCTGAAGCATTTAATAGACTACCAAGTAATGTAATGAAGTTGATTTTAGGCGACCTAAGCTCAAAATTTGAAAGGGAAAAGCACTTTTCTCCGATAATAGAAAAATAAAGTCGTCATTCTATAATCATTAGAAATTAATTTCGACTTATCTCATTTTTCATCAAATTATATGGTAGTCAGAAGTATAAAGTTTCCCCACAAAAACATCAATAATATTACATGGAAATCATTGGATGGAAAAACGTACAACCAGATTGATCACGTGCTCACACAAAATAGATTATGTTCTTGTATAACAAACATAAGAAGCTACAGAGGAGGAGATTTTAACAAGGATAACTCTCTACTGATGTCTAAATTTAAACTCAAAATACAGGCAAAGTGAGATTGAATAAGCTAAAGAATGCAAAATGCAATGCAGAAATATTAAAAAATGAAAATGTCATTATTGATACATACAACACACCTCAAGAATAGTAAAATTGAAAACATAGAAACAGACTGGAATAATATTAGCATAGTCACAAAAGAAACCACAGAACGAAGTACTGGAAGAGTGCATCGTGGAAATAAGAAAATAAATGACATAATGTAGCATGCTAAGAAGCTATAACAAAGCAACGTATAAATCAAGTAAACTTTATAAAATCTGGAAATCAAAGAGCAACGAACATCTTTGTAATAGAAAGGAAAAACTGTAAGCGAGTGATATAAAACAAAACAAGAAAGTTCACAAATGGGAAGAGAAGTGGAAAAGAATTGATGACAAGGCAAAATATGAAGCTTCTTCAAGACTATTGGATTGTATAAAGCCTCTTAAATCCAACACTTAAAGCAATAAAGGATCGAAACGGAGATATTCTCATGGAGTCCTATAGAGTATTTCATAGGGCTCCTAAATTTGAAAATACCACTGAAACCAGTAAGAAGTGTACAATATCAGATAGCGAAACCATTGACTAACGGCTTAACTTTGGAGGAAACCAAGATTGCTATTAACAGTCTAAAGAATTGGAAGGCGTGAAAGTCAGATGGCATACCCTCCTCTCCAAACTCATTGAATATAGCAGCAATGAAATACACAAAGTTATCTTCAAACTATGGAAAAATATATGGGAAGAAAAACAGATATCTAAAAGCTGGAAGGAAGCAGTTGTTATTCCTATAGACGAAAAAGATGGCAAAACAGAGTGTGAAAACTATAGAGTTTTATCGTTTCCATCTATTTCATTCGCGAGTAGTAAATGCAATTCTCTGCATTTCATTTGAACATAATTAATATAACTTCGATGAAGTTCATCGCCAATGACTATACCACATTAAATACAACATTTCTCGTTCAAAGTTAAGCAACGGCGAGTTTACCTAGGAACTTGCATAGATGACCGTTTGTGAACAACATTACGGGCCGTTGATTATTATGCATGTGGCAGTCAAGTTGTTGAGTATCTATTTATAATTTATTTAAATAAATATGTTTGCGCAAATATATATATTATTTTTTTATCTTTATTGTAATGTTAATTCGATAATAATTAAATAGTGTCTTCAAAAGAAACACTTAGATTCGAAGTATAATATTAATATGAAATAAGTACTTATACATTCTTTTAGTACGATCTCGACAAACGAAACCGCGAAACGACATTCGATGATAATTAATAATAAAATAACGAGGTGAAAATCATTAACAAATAATAAAATAATACAAATCGTACCTACGATTTTTAAGTGTAAGCGATTCGTTATTTAAAAAAAAAAAAAAAATTTATAATATGCTTGTATTTGATGCACTAGATTACAACAGCTCATTGTTTGTTAACCCATCCTGTTTTACTAACAATGTTTAGTTTACCCTTTTTTACCGTGCCCGTACTCAAGAAAAATACAACATGACGTGTTTTCCTACTATAGTCGTAATCATGGACGTCCTAAGACAATGGCGAGCGAGACGGGGCACATGCCATCCCTGGATTTTTAATTTATCAATAAACCAATGAAGGAATGGATAAACAATTTGTAACAAATTTAGTATTTAGGAAACATTGTAGATTTATACCTATCTAATACAATGTACAATACAATATATTATTATGTAGAGTTAGGTTAGGTTATATATTATATAATGAAAACTATAAAATACCATAATACTTTATAGAAAGAAAAGTTTATCCTTTATTTTTTGAAATAACTGTCATCCCTGGGGGGGGGAAATTTTAAGGAGAGCTCGGTAAACTTAAAGGTATTTTTTTTAGGAAAGATACACTGATAAATCTTTTGTGATGTAATAAAATCAGAACATCAAAACTACCAAAAAAATTAATAAACAAATAATAAAAAAACAACACACCTTAGATGAATTATTATAGCTTTTGGAACTATTACATTATAAGCCAACTCAACACTCAAAATCTAAAAAAATATTTCAATATAAAATAAGAATAACTAATAGATAATTTATTGTTGTATTATACCTAATTTAATTTATTTTGAACGTGTCAATTTCATAGCATTCACACGTAAAACGATTTTTCGTTGAATCACATTTATTACACAGTTGTTCGGTTTTTTTCATGCCTACGGAAAAAATACCTCTCTATAAGGGGTTGATGTTAAATTTTCCGTACACATAGAAACAAACAAATTAAATATTCGGTGCGTATTTATTGTTCCACGATAGCGCCAGTTAAACTGTTAACTAAAAAAACAAATTACCATGAAGAAGTACATAATAGCTCCCTCGTCTCATTCGGAATCTACAATTCACAAACGAATATACGACACAGCCAACCGATAGATGAGGATTTCGGTTGTCCATAATGTCATTGTTTTCGAAAAGGAAACGAATTTTCATCGTAGGATAATTATTTTGTCAAACGCCGCAAACATGTAGCTATCTATTATACGAAGATATTAAGTAAATTTGATTTTGGCAAGTTAAAAGTTAAAAATCAAGTTATAATTTCGAATTTTAACTTATGATTTTTATATTATTATAACTAATTATTATTTTTTTTTTTTTTTTTGGTTTTCATAACATTGAAATAACTACCGAGTTCGTTTTGATCCATACTTACTAATACTACGTTAAATGAATTTTAATTTCTTTTAATTTTAACACATTTATTATTTAATCAATTGAACAAATTTTAAATTTAAAATAAGTTTACTTTTGCAATAAGTATAAGAGTTAAAAAAATAATGATAACTAACTTAACCTAAGTTGTTACAGGGTTCAAACAAACAACTTTTAACGCGTATTAACTCACTAATATGAACAACTTGCACATTTCAATTATCTCTTCAATAAATTTCTTTCTTGGTATTTCCCTTCCTACGACCATTGATTCATAATTCAAAATATTAGTTATGAAAGAGTTATACACTTAAATAAGTGTCTCGTAAATTTTAAGTTTTTTGATCTAATGATAGATAGTAATACTCTCCCTTCCCCTAATATTTAAAGAATTTCTACATGCTTCCTTTTAGTCCAACGTCCAACTAATACGAAGTAATCTTCTCCAAGTCCACATTTCCATTCCTTCTAGTTTTTTTTTTTTTTTTTATATTATAATGCACTTCTCGGCAAGCTTATTTAAGGATAATATAATATCATTTGGTGCCACGTAAACCGATTTTAATGCAGAAACCGTATAATATTGAGATAATGATATTATATAAAATGTAAGTATATATCCTAGGGTTAAATCTCATCGTGCTATTGCTCGTAACGCGGCGAAGATTTCATTTGAAAGGCGCTGAAAAGTCACACCGTAACGTTCACGAATTTGATTTTCAAATCGAAAACCCCCTTTTGGAATAGAGCTAGGTACCCGCAAAAGAATAAAACGCAGGAAATCCATTTTTCATGACGATCGTCTATATATACTACTTCCAGATTTCAGTATACTCACCGAACACATCCCGGCGCCATTAACATTTATTACGGCAGTCTTATTATTTTTTTTTCTGTTTCTGAAATGGCATTACAAAATCTCTGTACAGGAGATATAATATAGTATTCTTACGTCCGGCGGGCGAAAATCCATCTGCATTTTTAAATCGTCAACGTTTATTGTATTTAGGCGACTGAAAAACCGCGAACAAAGTCAAATAGTTGAATAAACCCAGTCAAAGAGCTTTTAAAGACAATTATTTCGCCGCCAACAACATCGAGTCACCACTGCCATCAAAAATCCACCATGCTACACCACCACCGGTGGAAAATTTTAACAGCACGATCGAAAATACTTTTTTAGCATTTAGAATATGGTAATTTTCGAATTATTACATACAAATTACAAATATTGTTCACCGGATATTTATTTTATTTAACAATTGCCTTTTATTCGCACTTGTACAGCAGGTAATAAATTCCAGGGGCCTTCAACCCGCGGCCCGCCTAGTCATTATTTGCGGCTCGCGATCACATTTGAAATATAGCATATCTTTTCTATTTTGATAAAATTATAACGCCGTAAGCCATCACTGTCGAAAAAATTGAGAAATATGCGATAAAAAAATTAAATTACCTACTTTTTTTGGTAGTACTTATACATGTAAGCATATATTTTCACGAATGAAAATTACCAAATCGAAAACTAGAGCTCGGTTAACTAACAAACACTTAGAAAACTCGCTGAGAATTGTATCGTCTCAGATCCAACCAAATATAGAAAAATTAGTTAGTGAAAAACAATGTCAGTAATCACACTAAATATAAAATAAATAATTTCAAATTCAAAATTGAAATATGTCAATCTATATATGTTTTAATAATAATAATAGTTTGTAATTTAAAATATAATTATAAAAATTATAATAATAAAACTGAATTTTTGTATAAAATACACGTGTTTACTACGAATGCGGCCCGCAAGATTTGTAAAAAATAATATATGACTCACTGGATAAAAAGATAGAAGACCCTTTACTAAACAAAAACATTGTTTGGAAAAAATAAAATTTTAAAACTGAAGACTTGCTTTCAAATGATTATCTAATTTAAAGTTTAAAAATCTTGACAATATTATATTTATATTTCTTAAAGCTTTTAGTTAATACATTGAAGTATTGAAGTAGGTATACTTGGTTGTATCTCAGCCAAATCCCAGAAAATTAGATTACGTCAGTTTAGCAATAAAAACATTACACAGGTATTTGAAAAACAAAACCAATACATCAGCAAGTTTTGTATTAGTTTAGCATTTCAAACCTAGGTATATTATACGAAATTATTGAAATTGTTTGACCAATAATTATTAAATCAAAGACGATAAGTGCAGCACCGAATTGAAATATGGCAGTTTAATATTTTCTTTAGTCTTGATTTTTTATTTATAGTAATACAAAAAAAAATAAAGAGCATAAAACTAAGCAACTAAGCCACACATACAAATCTGACAGATTATTATTTGTTTTAGTCACAAAAATTAATATGTTGGTTGAGCGATGACTTAAGATGGTATATATAGTATTTATTAGATTAAAAAAAATATTCAAAACTCAAAAATTACAAATTCTTAGAATATTTAATCTAAAATCGCATGCACATGCGAAAACACCCAACGAGATACCGTATTAGTAGCTATTTGGTTACCTATTGTAATCATACATTAGTAATAGTAATATATTCTTACATCTACGCTGTACATTTATACATTATATTTTTGATTAAATTTAATAAAAGACGTTAACTTAATAAAGACTACGAAAAAATGTTAAACACAAATAGTCAATTCCAATTTATTTTTCTTCCAGAACATTATAATAATTAATGATGTATCATTTTTATTTTGATGTTCACATAATTGACATAATTTTTTTTTTACAGAAATATTTTTTCATTCTCTCCCGTTTTTCCTGGAAACATATCTTAAATATCAGGCGTTCAATTAAAAAAATAAGTCACTTTTTTTTTAATTGACGTTTTGAATCCCGAATATATATTATCGCTTTTAAAATAGTTAATATATACGACTTCTATTACTTTTCAGTGATAAAATATAATAAAAATACAGTATACTTAAATTAAAGTATAGCACAAGAAATCGTAAATAAGAATTTTTTATTTGCCCTCTTGTAAATACAAAAAAAAATATCACTTAATGCTATTTAATAGAATCCCACTCCATTATTACGTGAATACCTATATATCATTTTTAACTTGACGTTTTCATATATTATTATACTAAATCGGTTTATGTAAATTTTTACTTTCCGTTTCGAATTTATTGAAAAATACTCCGAAATTACTTTATATTACTTTAAATTACTTTACATATTTATAACTATACAACAATATAATACCCGTACAACATTATTTTTATTAAAAATAATTTTTAATAAAAATAATATAAATAAAATAATTTTTATTATTTTCTAGACAACTAAAATAGAAAAATATCAGAATGAACGTATAATTCGAATAAAAAATAATTATAACTTTGTATAATATGGGCCACATACGGCAGTCAAATGCTTTTTTTTTATTATTATTTATTCAAAACCTTTTTTGTTGAATTTTAGATCTAGATAATCGTTTTTTTTTTTTGATTTTCCAAATAGGTAATATTAATAATAGTTGATAAAAATCGAAAAAAAAAATGAAAAATAAAAACTGAAAAATTTACGGCGTTACGATTTTATTATTTTAATTTGTACGCTTCATGTATTCTACCAGGAATATGAATCATATTAATATAAGTACTTTTATTTGGTAAAAATGCATAAATCTAAAATTATTACAATTAAACTATATTAGAACTTTATGAGTTCTTAATAAAATAAATGTATATAATATAATATCTATTGTTGAAAAACACCGAATAGTTTAACTATAAAACTATTAACATATTCTATATTCTATAGTAATAATAATAATAATAATATCAAAAACAATAATAATACCTATCAATTTAAAATAATAATGTAACCGAATTATGTATCAGCAAAATGAGTCAACAATGTGGTAATGAACCCGATATATTGGCATGGTAAAACAACGATGCGCAAACGATGTATAACCTAAAAATTAAATAGTGCGCAAGTGGATTACAAAAAAGATCGAAAAATAGCGAGCCGCAATTAATATGCAGCCTCTTAACTGGATCGAGAATTTTACGCATTGAGAGGACATAAAATGTGAACATCTATAAAATTGTATATACAAATTGTACTGTCAAATTTTAATTATAAAATCAAATTTTCACCACAAAAAGGAAATCTGTATAACCTATACTCCTACAGTCGTATCTACATGGTCCAAAAGTAGTAACCTGAGAACAAAAGGTACTTGAAACAGTGAATTCTAACCACACAAAACCACTATATAGAAGTCAGCAATATACTATTATTAGTTTTGTGACTTTCTAGGCGTATTTTAGTACTACATAGTCCATAGTCCATCGTTCATATTATATAAATACACTTTTATATTATACTAATGGCTAATTTATCATAATTTTCGAAATAATTTTAAACTATCATCAATCAGATCAGACACTGGTCAGTGTCTGATATGGTCATACCAGCATCATGTAAAAACCAAAAACTCTAATTATATTTTTTTTTTTTCTTCTAATTATACATACTTATATGAAATATAATATGTAGACGTAAAATAACTGAAATTATCTTAGCATTTAGCACAGGTCTATGATTACTACAGACATTTTTAGTACATACTTTGATAGATAATTTCTTCCTACAGGTCGATTTAACAAAACCTCCAGATTTATTTAAAAAATATCCGCAAAATATTATCTGCGACCCCTCTCGGTATCCATATAAAAAACGTTAGGTACACAATTTTACACCTGACAAACTTATTATTCTTACACTCGAGAATGTTTTGATATAATTATTATACAGACACATCATCGTCTCTTCATAGACTAACTTCTTTATCATTTTCGAATCTGTTCATTCGTGAAAATTATTCGTGACGGAGAAATCTGACTAATAATCCAATATGAGTAATGACTTTTACTGCGTATGCAATAGCGTCAACCGATAAAAACAGATGCTATATTTGATTGATGGTGGGAAAATCCTAATAAAAAACAATTTGTAATAACTTGACGTAAAAAAAAAAAAGAAATTACAAAATTTTAATAAAGAAAAAGTTTACTTGAATAAAATTTTTAAAAAAAATCTCAAAAGTACATGTGCGTGCAAATAACCATGTTTGGTTTTTAAAAAATTGTTTTTTTTAAAAAAATATCCGTATCACGGGTTTTATTTTTAGATTCACAATTAAAGGTTTGGATATTATATACTGGATAATAAAATTTGTTACAGGTTTTATGATATAAACATAGTATAATTTTATCAGCAAATACAGCAAATACCTTATTGTTATTAAAAATATATTATTTATTGTCATTGTAATAAAATATATACTGAACTCGGCACTCGCATAATCTTATATTGTTTTGTTGAAATACAATATATTTGTATTAAGAGGACGTGATACCCGCATGTATAATCTCCATCTTACAAACATACCACATGGCAAATTCGCGTTCAGTAGTAACAACGTTATGCTGTTATACTTTTAATATTAGAATAAATTGACCTATTATCAAATTGAATTATAAAAACATTATCTGTGTAACGTTGTGACTATTAATTCAATATTTTAATTTTTAAGAGACAATATAAGTATGAGATATGAGTATGTCACAATTTTTTAATGCTTATATCTTGATCAAAATTGTAATATCCAAAAAATGGTTTCAACGTTGCACAGAGGATATTTTTTATTATCAAGTTTGATATTATGTCTATTCAATCTAATATTAAAACTAACAACACAGAGGTGTCCCTGACTGAACAAAAATTTTCTGGCGTGCAGTTCAGCAGTTGTGTAACGAAGACAGCACATACGGGTATAGCATCCTCTTAAAAGGAGGTCATTAACAAATAACATAAAGAAATTGCCACAGTAACATTTACTATTTCTGTCTATCTAACGAACAAAATAATAAAAATGTGTTTTCGTTCTTCCAATAGTACCTACTCAGAATGGGATCTAGGTCAGAATAGCGAAAGAAATAACCATGAATGTAAAAATCGCGAATTAATGATAGCAAAATTAATAATAACGAATTTTAAAATATTCGATCATACATAAAAGCGAAACTGATAATAAAAACTTTTTTCAAAGTGTAGCAAATAATTTATCACTAAATACCTCTTTGTTTTTTTTTTTTTTTTAAATTATTATTATGACTATTATGATTATAATGAATGTATTCAAAAAATATACTGTCTTTTCGATATTATGTATTTTCGCTCTTTTTTAAAATTCGTTATTTGTCTTTTCACTATTATAAATTCGCGATTTTTACAGTCACGGTTATTTTTTCGCTATTTTGGCTCGATACCCTCAGAATCTAAATCAATGATCTAACATTTATTTCGTTTTCAACTAGGTATTTTTTGATGTATTCATTATATAATTATCTATTAAAATAAAAATATATACACATGCATATTTTTTTTTTTCAGTTTCAAGTACGAATAGATTATCTAGAAATACATTTTAAAAAATCACCTTTGAAAACATAGTAAATATTTCCATCTGTAATTTGGTAAAATAATTTTTGTCTCAGGTCTATTTGATCCTGTGTATTATTTAAAATGCGAAAACATAATAATAGATTTGCTATATTTCCCGTTAGACAGACAGTCGATAAATGTTACTATGATGACCTCTTAATGGTATTTTTTAATGTTTAAAAAATAATAATAATAATCAAAATTTAAATTTTTCGACCAATTTTCACGGCAAGACGATTTTTAACTTTTAAGTTATCTTTAACGACTTTAATTTTTATTTTATTTTACTACGAGAATATGTAGGTACCTACATTTCTTTGAAATTCTGAAAATCGAAAATAGATATAAAATAAGGGTTCGAACAAAATTAGACTATTTTTTATTTTACTTCTAAAACGCTTAAAACCATTGATAGAAGAAAGACAGCTTATACCGGAACATCAGTTTGGATTTCAAAATAAACACTCAATAATCGACCAGGTCCATCGTGTCACCAACGTAATAAGCAAAGGGCTTGAAGAGAAAAAGTATTGCTGCGGAGTATTCCTTGACGTGGTACAAGCTTTTGATAAAGTTTGGCACAAAGGATTACTTATAAAACTACGTGAACAGCTGCCACACACCTGGTGCGCATTTTTCAAATCCTACCTGACTGAACGTCAATTCAGGGTCATTCATGAAGAAGCATTAACTGATTGGAAAAAAATATCGGCGGGTGAAGGGAAGCGATCTTGGACCAATCCTCTTACTTACTTACTCTACACAGCGGACATTCCAACCAACAACTATTTAATAACAGCCATGTTTGCTGATGACACAGAAATAATGACAACAAATGAAGACCAGCAGACTGCTTGGCTTCAAACGTCCATCGAAAACGTTTCCACCTGGACAAAACGTTGGAAGATTAATATTAACACTGAAAAATCGGTGCACGTAAATTATATCTTGCGTAAAACCATCTATAAACCGGTATTACTAGATTAGCAGAGCATCCCACAGTGTGATTCAGAAAAATATCTAGGAATGCACCTGGACTCTTGGCTGGAAGCACGTTAGACAGAAAAAACTGCAAATTAAGAAGAAAATGCGACAACTATATTGGCTGGTCGGAAAACATTCCAAACTAGACCTCACAAGCAAACGCCTCTTGTAATGATAATTAAACCAACATGGACTTATGGAATTCAACTGTGGAGTTGTGCCAGCAAGTCCAATATTGAAGTTATACAATGTTTCCAGAACATCGCTCTCCGTACCATTATCACAGCTTACAGGTATAACAGAAACGTCATTATCACCGAGATATGATGATCACCTTCGTCCAGGACGAGATTACTAAGTTTCCCCGCAAACATGAGAAAAGACTGGATCAACACACCAAACCAGCAGCAATTCAACTATTAGACAACTCTCTAGACATTAGCCGTCTCAAACTCCAAAGACCATATGACTTAGTATAAGATTCCTGGACTAAGACCGGGGCCACTCCATTGGGAGTGAGATTCCACACATATTTATTTTATTTTTTTATTTTTGTATATATATGCTCGTATATCACAAATATTTATGTACACCTCTGATAATGTATTGTTAAAGATTTGTTTTTATCGTTACAATAAAAGTTTTAGGGTGGTTTAAAAAAAAAAAAATGTTTTATTTTAAAAAAAAACGTTTCTTCATAAGTCGGCAATTTCGGGAAGTTTGCATGTCCTCAGTCTATCTTAAACATTTGAAATAATATATGCGAGTATATCATTGTATATCATATTATATAGTCGTACTATTTTTTTTCCATTTACAAACTTTAATTTAAATTACAATTATTGTTCCTATAAACTGCGATAACAACATGCGTAATATAAATAAGTACAACTCATTCGTTTTTAAAAGAATGACATAATATCATATCAGAAAACAAGCATTTATAGAAGATTTAATTATAGCAAGATACGATTATATACATTTCCAATGGTGTTTTTTTGATCTCTGTTAAATTTACAAAGATTTAAATTATTAGATAATATCCCGAATGGTTCGTCTTTTATGCAGACACAGATACATCAATTATACGAGATACGATTACTTTTTTTCGATTTAACAAAATTATATCAAACATCGTTACTCACACACGGACACAGTGTACAATTAGATTTAAAGTTAAAAATTTTTTTTTTTTTGTTTTGCCTTTAGTTTAAAAACATAATTTCTCTTTAAACTTAAAACTTCATAGAATATAAATCATCCGTGATGAACGTAACCTAAATCATATAATATACAATATTTCATTTTATACCTAACATTATATAACACACTCAATACACAATATGTGCATATTTTATATCGATTACGAGCATATACACGTGTTCTTTTACCCCTTACCTGTCGATATATTACTTTTAATGAAACATCTCCCCAAAGTACACTTTACATTGAGTATCTAAAAATGTTAAGGGTTTTTTTTTCAAGGAGCTATAAATATTTATAACTTTTAATTGTTTATTGTTTTCTGTTAACAACATTTCCACCAGAAATATTTTTCGATCATAAAATGAATGATGGTTATAAGTAGAAAACGTTGTCTTTGCATTAATGAAGTCATTAATTTTTTTATTATTAATATTTAATTTAAAATAATCGTATGGACCTAAACCTAAACCTTTCACCAAATATTTTTATAAGCACTTTTAAACGTGCTACAATTTTTAAAATATTCTGGCAATTTTGAGTTATGAATATAGCTATTTTAAAGTTTAGAGTTTTATTGTTTTGTTTTATGTGGATACAAATACTAACTTTTTTATCAGTATTTTAGTTCAAATTTATGTTAAGATCCGATAAAAACAAGAAAAATAGTAATTTATTTAGTAGTTACCAATTAATGTCCAATTTTTGATTTTAATACGAAAATTCAAAACATGTTAAACCAAACTACATAATCAGAATTTTTTTTTTATTTTACATAATTGTTTATTTATTATACAGGTAAGTAATTACTCTAATTATCTTCCCAATTCCCACCTACAACAGTGTACTCCGCCCATAGTGTGAAGTACGATGTATGGCTATTAAACAACGAGACTGGTTACGAAAAAGTGTTTTATTATTAGTTATTCTACATTCAAATGCTCCCCTTCAATATACTCCCCTCCTCTCGCCACACACCGTTTCATTCGTTTACACCGTTTCATTCGTTTCTTCCATTGCTCGAGGCAGTGCTGGAAGTCTGTTTTCGTAAGACCATTCAGGAGTTCCGCCGATTTTTGTTTCACCTCTTCCATCGACTCAAACCGGATTCCTTTTAAGGCAGACTTTATCTTCGGAAACAAGTAAAAGTCGCAGGGTGCCAAGTCGGGTGAGTAAGACGCGTGTTCGAGTACTGGAGTGCCTTAAGCGACCAAATAACGCTTCACGCTTTATCCTGGTGCAAGATCCACGACTTGTTTTTCGACAATATCGACCGTTTCTTACGAACTCATTCGCGCGATGTTGCCAAAACTGTCAAATAGTAATAATGTTGGTTCACAGTTTGACCCTCTGGAACCCATTCAGTCATCACGATGCCGTTGATATCGAAGAAAACGGTTTTGAATTTGGATTACGACTGAATTGGATTCCGGTGCACTCTCGACCTTCAAAAAATAATTTATGCCACTCAAAAATACGCGCCCGAGATAGGAAATCCTCACTATAGGCCTCTTTTAACAACTTATAGCACTCAGTTGGAGTTTTTTTTAGTTTAACGAGAAAATTTTACGTTTATCCGTTGCTTATGTTTTTCGTCACACATCGTTTTCGGCAAGAGAAAAAAACACGTTCGTTTCAAACCACCACTGCACAAATACTATAATAGTGACGAAAACGTGTTTTGGTACGTGCATAGATAAGATATCTAGATACCCAACGCATTACTCGTTTTTTTTCACTACCCATCTAGGGCGCCCTTTAGGCGAGCAGTCTCGTTATTTAATAGCCACACCTCGTATGTCAGATTTTTTTTTTTTATTCTCTTATAACAGATACGTACATAGTAAACTTACAAGAAATTGACAGAATTAATAAATTCTTATACGAGAATTCTGCAAAATATCAAACGTCAATTACATACATCAATATGTAATCGTTTATGTACACCACGCGCAGTTGATACCTAGATTTCCGTTAAATTTAATAAAATATTTACAATGTTAAATTAAAATTGTAAGTGTATACCTGCATTAAATAAATATTTATTCAAATAGTTTTCGTAAACTCCAATACATGGTAAGTTTTACTCGCTAATTTCAATTTAGAGTTTTTTTTTTTTTTTAGAAAGAAAATATATAAAAAAGGTTGAATACGATAATTTTTAATGGTTTTAATCTACGATTTAACTATAGTTTATCATTTAGTCAAATAATATATATTTCGAGACCAAGGAAATGGATATAATTATTTTAAAACTACTGCATCATAACAAACGTCGAGTTTATCAAAGCAATCCAAAAAAAATTATCAACATTTGCAGTATCTTTTATCCCGCTTATATTTATATAATATTTCGCACGCTAACTATATGCTTAAAAGACAATTTAACGCTATTACGATATACCGTTTACATTGAGACGAAGAAAAAACATGAATATTTACATTTAAAACACTGCAATACCTAATACTTCAATATTATGTTATTATTTCGAGGGTGGGATTATGTATTAATTTGTTTAAATTTTAAAAATTCACAATAATAATTGTATTCGATCTTAATCTTAAAAATATTTACGAGGGTTAGTATAATATAATTAAACTCTCGTATCAATAATGTGGTCGATATGATTAATTGGTGAAAAAAAATTATTTTGTCTATTGGGAAAAAAATAAAAACTATAAACTAAGCCGATTGAGATAACGCGGAATATATATATCGACGGTATTTTGTTAAAAGGACGTCTGTCAATTTCAATTTTTTTTAGAAAGCAAAAAAATTAGCAATAAACCAGCAAAACAGTTTTTAATGATGTTTATCATGGAAACCATTAAAATTACTCGTACACATAGTCACAAAGAATACATACATTGTATGTGGCATACACCCTTTTAACAAATCAACGTTGATTTAATTATATTTTAAAAGAGCGCCTGGATATGTTTTAGTCAACATTACTAACTTAATTTTCTGTATTTAAATACGCCCAGTTTACCAGTTTACGCTCCTATTTTTTCTGGATTTTTTGATACCAATAACATATTTTTCGATTTTTAGTGGTATACGGCCTTTTAACAAAACACCAACGATATGTAGGATAACGTCAAAATATTAAATTATTATCATCTTTGCCCAAAAGTTAAATATATTATCTATTCTCTATACGTAATATTGACGTCAAATCCTTCGAAAAATTATAAAACCATCCCTTTGAGTTCTCTTGGGCCGAATAGTCGGAGTCCGCAAACTCTCCACCGAATCATTTGGTTCTATGCCAATATTAACATAAAGTACCTCGTAAAGATCTCAAAAAACAATTTTATCTTATAATACTACATCATAGGAGACATTACAATTGGGTTTATTTTTGATAATAGTCTACCCATTATATATATCAGGGCATTTTTTATTTAATATGCACTACGTGTCTACTCACCCTCCCTTAAAAGCTCCATGAGACCAAGCGTTTTCCATAACTTTTGGATATTTCTTGTTACCCTTTTCCCAAACATTTGTCCATTTTTCCCCCATTTTTCCCGGTTTTCCTCAATTATTGGGAAAATTTCTGGAAAAATCAAATAAAGACTATCCTAAAGTATCATGTAAATAAAATTTCGTTTCAAAAAAGGTAATGAAAACTTGATACATTTGAGCAAGATTTCTAGTAGAAAAGTTTGCATAACAAATCGAGGGGTGTTTTTTGATTAAAATAGTCCAAGCGAGCGATAGCTTAGGTCTTTAGGTACACCCAAAATGTATTTGGTTTTCTCTGTTTAGGTAACATGGAAAAACCAAATGCAAGACATTTTTTTCGGAACACGGGTTTGAACTAACACTAGGATGACAATAGTTACGTAGCTCCACTAGATTACGACAAAGATACTATAAAATTGATAATATATAGTTATTTAGCATATCACATAATATCAGAACTCCAAAAAACTATAATTGCGAAACTAAATTAGTCCACTCAATTCTGACTTCACTATGGTTCTTAAATCGGCAAAATACTGGGTGATTCACTAAGCGTGCTAACCCCATTTTTTTTGGTTAAATTTCGCATACAATCAAATTCTGATTTTTAAAAATTTTAAGTGTGTAGTTAAAGCCGATATTTTCGAATACTTAGATTTTTCACAATATTTAAGGAATATCCCGTGGTGATACCAACTTTGGTTTTTCAAATGAGAACCTATATTTAAAATTCTATAAATAGATGGAGCACTAATTTAAATAAATTTTGGTATTAAAATTATTAATCCCAAAATAATTGGGAAA